AGCTGATCATTGATCAGTTTCATGATTGAAGTAGAAACAGGAGAGAGAGGGGAGAATGTGCATTGTGCATTCTTAAAGTCTTATGTGTTGAATTGAACCATGTGATGTGTTCAAAGCCTCCCAGTCAGTGCTGTTCTCCATGTCTGACATGATGTTATTAGCACTTTAAAGGTGATCATGTAGGACTTCAGCAATAATGTCGTTAAACATCTCACTGTTAGTTTTATTGGGAATCAACTTAAAAACAAACAAACATCTGTCTCCTGTTTTTGTGTCATACAGGAAAGAAGCATCAGTATCTGATGAGAAGACTTTTCAACAGGAGAATCTCTAACAAGTTGATTTGTTCACGTCTTAATTTTTGAGTGAAATCTGCATTTTGAGTTCATGCACTGTTTGCAGAGAATGCAACGGTTTCCTTTTGCAGTATTTTTGTGTGGTCTTAATAAAAGGGGAACAAAGGTATTTAAGTTCACCTAGGATGATGTTTTAATCTTCACATGGTCTTATTCTTTTTCATTCTTTTCTTGGCGCAGTGGCAGATTGAAAAGGGACCTTGAAAGTGTTTAAAAGTGCTTGAATTTGACCCTGAAAAAGGCGCATGAACCCTGATAGGAATACATGTACAAAATGTACAAAGATGCGTACATAAACACACTGAAATGTACATAACTACACTACAACGCACACAGAAATACACTCAAAGTATATACAAGATACAAGCAGCAACAGAAACAGTGATGGTAATAGGAAAGTTTCATCAGCACATAATAAAACTCCTCAGCTCATTCGCAGGTCTTATACTGAACAGAATACAACCTAACTACAAAACATGGCACATCGTTGTTTTTGTTTTTAATAAAAGCTTATTCAGTCTTTCTGCTTCCAGAGGAACCAAGAGTGCGAGGCAGCTCGGTGCTGCTCGTGAACTAGTATCAGGTGATGAGCAGGTGTGAGCGCCTCTATACAAGCAGCTCGGGCAGTTTGCATGACTGTGACTTTCAGGTGTGTGTTTGCCGCCAAGGATGAAAACTGTCAGCAGCAGAGAAACAACAGTTACTGCCCATTAGTCTGGGAAGAGGATTATCTCAGACAGTAGAGGACTCCATTAAGCATGCTGAAAAGTTCATGTGCAGGTGGAAAAAGACTGAATGTGCAGGGCAGGCAAGCGTGTTCTCTTTAAAAACACATGGTGACATGGCTTTGTTTGCAAACTTCATTTGAACAATGTGCTTTGGACAGGTGAGACCAAAGTGGAGATGTGTGTCTGTAGTCCACAGCAGTACAA